CACTGTTCACTTAGCTGGCACAGACATATATCTCCAAACAAAGAAGTGAGCAAACCCAGCATTACATGCACCCTTGGAAGTCAGAAAATAACAATACAGGCATGAACAACAAACCCCCATAGTTATTCTTTCCAAAGCCAAAGATTTAGATCACTGCAGGACCATTCATGCAAGGATAAATCAGCAGGTAAAAAGCTATTAAGTTTGGGAGGAGAAAAGATGTAGAACGAAGATACCCAAACGAGATGATTCCTGTGATATACAAACCTCACCCAGGACCCCAAGTGTCATGCCAGATCAGCAAGAGGCAGCAGAGCTCTGCAAATGACAGCCAGGTCCTCCCATGACGAGGAGCAGCAGGAGGCAGACCCTGGCCAGGGGTACCTGCAGACAAGAGTTGCTGCTGCTGCAGGGATAGAACAGAGCAAGAAGTGAGCAGAATGCTGCAGGACTGCAACGTGGGCAGTGCCAGAGGGGGATTTCGGTGTGCTGGCTCAGAGCCACAGCACAAAAACATAGGCTTTAAGCTCACAGCATTCATAGAATCATAGAATGGTTAGGGTGAATCTCCCCTGTTTCAGTTTGAACCCATCAGCCCTTGTCCTATCGCTACAGTCCCTGATGAAGAGTCCCTCTCCAGCAGCCTCGTAGCCCCCTTCAGACACTGGAAGCTGCTCTGAGGTCTCCACGCAGCTTCTTTTCTCCAGGCGAAACCCCCCCAGCGTTCTCAGCCTGTCTTTGTATGGGAGGTGCTCCAGCCCCTGGTCAGCCTTGTGGCCTCCTCTGGACTTGCTCCAACAGCTCCATGTCCTCCTTATGCTGAGGACACCAGCCCTGCACACAGAGCTGCAAGTGGGGTCTCACGAGAGCAGAGCAGAGGGGCAGGATCACCTCCCTTGACCTGCTGCTCACATGCTTTTGATGCAGCCCAGCACATGGGGGGTTTCTGGGCTGCTAAAAACTCACACAGCATCAGAGATTAGGCCTGATCCTTGGGTACCTGGGCTCGGGACTGATGGTGCTCCGAGAAGCAGAGAAAAACTGATGGTCCTCCGAGAAGCAGAAAAAAGCTAGCGGCTACTGCAGGAACACAAGCTGCCGGCACAGGAGGAATCCCACCATGCACAGAGCTTAGTACAACCCAGGGCAGCAGCTTACCTGGGGCAAGGCAACGGTTTACACAGAACCAGCAAACAGTTGTGTTGCTGCTTGCAAGAGCTTACAACTAATTTAAGCCCTGAAAGATGGTGTAGAGGAGGCCCTCAGTGACACGGCTTAGTGGTGGCCTTGGCAGTGCTGGGGAATGCTTAGGCTGGATGATCTTGAAGGTCTTTTCCAGCCTGATTGATTCTATGTTTTAAAAGCATTTCCACAACAGCTCCCTCTAGAAGCTGCTGCGGGGGGTGGGTTTGTGCAGGGCTCCCCAGCACACAGCATCCAGGCTGGCACAGACCCCTGCAGGAACTGCATTACACAGCTTAATTTCCATCACTCCCACAACTGCCTTACAAATCTTCCTCGGTGATAGCAAGTAATTTTATCTTCCCCTTTTCTGCTGCACATTCATTTCTCTGGCCTTTCCTGGCTCACAGACCACTGCCACTTGTCCCCTGGTTGTGCTGTCAATAAGCTTCTGACCAAGGTGACAGCTGAAGGGACTCATGAGCTGGACTTCAGGGCTGCATTCTCACCCCCAAAGGCCTAGGGGTGAGGGCCCAGACTTAAAGCAGTCTTGCAATAAGATACATACAGGTAGACCCTATGATGGCAAAACTCTCCAGTTCAAGTGGAAATCCTCTAGGCTCCCCCCTCTTCCCGGGAGTGGCAGTGGAGGGCTGGATGCACTGTGCTGGTCCTACCTTGATCCCGCCGGTTAAGCACCAACTTCCTGACCATGAGCCTCCCCGAGGCTCGGAGCTGGGTGGACAAGGACAACAAATCTCTGTCCTCCCTGGTATCAGCTTTTCTGTGGTTTGTTGTGGTTTGGCATTGCATTATGCTAATGCAAACCCTCCAGAATTTATTTGGGCATTACTGTTTTCCAGTTTTCTCTCAGTAGCCAACATATAAATGGATGTCAGAGAGGGACTCTTCGTCAGGGACTGTAGCGATAGGACAAGGGGTGATGGGTTCAAACTGAAACAGGGGAAGTTCAGGTTAGATCTAAGGAAGAAGTTCTTCCCTGTGAGGGTGCTGAGGCGCTGGCACAGGGTGCCCAGAGAAGCTGTGGCTGCCCCATCCCTGGCAGTGTTCAAGGCCAGGTTGGACACAGGGGCTTGGAGCAGCCTGGCTGATTGTGAGGTGTCGCTGCCCGTGGCAGGGGGTTGGAACTGGATGATCTTAAGGTCCCTTCCAACCCAAACCATTCTGTGAGTCTATTCTATTATTTCCCTCTCAAGCTCACACACATCCACCTCTAATGTATGAGGCTGTCTAATCTTTCCATGAGTTACTGCCTGACTACCCCCTCCTCCGGGGAGCCCTATTGCATTTCATCAGAGGGCTTTCTCTTCCCTCAGTAAGGAGGATGCTGGCTCACAGCACACCTCACTTCTGGTTCTGCTGGAAAACACAGGATCTTTCCTCCTTACTCCATTCTTCCAACATTCACTACACATTTTGCATCATACTAGGCAGGAGAATTCAAACCCCTCTCCTGCTCCAAATACACAAACCACACAACATTCAAATCTGCTTTCTTGGAACTCCAATAAAAATAAACACATTGACTTCTGTATTTTTCATTTTGACCAAAGTTTCATCAGTTTCAGCAATCTTAAAATCTCCAAACTTGTCAACCACTTCTGTGTCTAAACATTTAAAAACTAAACCTGCTGATGGCCTCTTCTGTTGCTTCAACTCAGAGACGAAAACAAGGGATCAAGGTTGAGGATTTATCAGCTTACAAGAACAGGAACAGAGATGAATAATACACAACGACGTGTCTTTTTCTGTTATTTTATTGATGTTAGTGAAGAAAATTTTAGATTTCATCTTTCTCATGTGTTACACAATTGCTTTCTGTGGCGGGTGGACAGCCCCGACTGCTTAATTAAAGGCTAAATTATACTTCCTGATTGCATGATTAACTTCTACACTTTAAGTTCTCATATGGTATTGCTTTCTTCCTCTGGGTATATAAAATGGTCCATGAAGTCCATGTTTTGTTTCCCCAGGATCAACTGTTATTCTATCTACTGTTTTAAGATACATTTAAATAAAAAGATACTTAAATTTACTTGCAATAAGTGCACACATACAACAGCAGAGAGAGCTGATGACATTTCACTGAAACATTGTAAGTTCATAGAATAAATAGAAGTCTTCAAACACATGCAGAGACTGACCCATGTGTTTTTCCTTTCTCAAACATACCCTTAGTGTCCATAGCACTACTGCAGTAACTACTTCATTCAGAAAATAAACCAAACCCACCCACCTACCTCTCATCACAGAGACTAAAAGACAGCTTCATCTATACAGGAAATGATCAGTGCTAATGATTCAGTAACAGTCTGGTACAAACTGGTAATTCACAGCAAGTATGTGTAGTGGGATAATGGGAACAAACAGGGAGCTTGGTTTAGATGCCACAAGAAATGCAAGGAAAAGAAAGTGGATGTTAAACCCTCTCCCTTCACTCCTCTCCATCCCCCCTCTGAGCAAACGCTCTAGAAACAAGCTCTCTCCGGTCTATTCAGTTTCAGGATATTCTAATTGTATTTACAAGCACCCAGCAGAACTCTGGGAGAAACAGAGAAGAAACAAGGATCGCCTGGGCTGTAACTAAAGGCTGTGTAGGGCCTTTTGTTTCCCTTCTGATAAAGCAGAGGGTTATAGGTTTGGTATTGGGAGGTATTTTTTCAGTTTAAAAAGACTGTGAAATAAAGTGCTTCCCACCTTTTTACCTCTGCTAAGGTCCAACTTTGCATGAAGGAGGTTTCTCTGAAAACAGAAAATAGGTGGGGAATATTCTCACCACGGAGACCAGTGGGTGACTGCGAGCTGCTCTTTCCAGCTTGTACCATTCCCTCACTAAATGGGTTTTGTGGTTCTTTGCCAAGGTTTCAAGGACACACCTTGTTCTAATACTGGTTTTGCTACATGTCTTCTATAACACGCCTCTGTCAATCTGTTCCATAGCTTTGACTTGTAGGAAGTCATTGCCACGTTTACCTCACAAGCTGTGAAAGCTGTTCTCTTTGGGGGCACTTACAAAGCATGTTTCAGAGGCAGCGCCACACAGTAAAGCATTTTCCCCTCCATAATCCAGTGCAGCATTGAAAAACAAAACAAAAACCAAAAGAGAAGTCACACGGAGTGCAAGTGTGCCACATGAAACAGGAATATGTTAATACTCCAGGTACCCAGTAGGTCTGTCGACCTCGACACAGGATTGCTTCAAGTTTCTCATCTTGGGGAAGAGAAGGCTACAGAACAGAAAAATGCAATTCCATCCATTCAGGCATAATAGGCAGGCACTCCAGTAACTCAACTCATCTACAGAAGCAAAATTAAAACTACCACATGTTAAACCGAGTGCTTTTTGCTTTAGCATTTAACAAAACACAAATACTCTCATGCTATGGTCTCACGTAACACATTCAATAGCTTCCCATGCACCTCTGACTCAAGTTAGGCTAGCTACAGGATTCACGTTGTCCTAGTCAAGTTATTTTGTGTTGGTTTTATTTTTTGTGGTTTTTCAGTGCATCTTAGAAAAAAACTTTTCAAAAGGTTAGTGAGTTACCTTTAATAACAGCAATCATAACACAGAGCCTCTGCACTCAACTGAACAGTAAAATAATCCAATTAGTTACAATAGATCTGGTACATATTTACACATTTTATACAAAGTTTACACATTTCTCCCATTAGGCACGAAGTTGATTTGTCAAACTCAAGAGGCAATGAAGGGGTGGTGGGGAAAGGAAAAGGAGATCAGAGAAAGAATCAAGAGTACTTGTATTTAAAAAGACTAGCTGTAAAAATGAAGTCCTTCACCTTAAGCTAGTTTGCTTCGGGAGCTTGGTTCCCATGAGGATCCCCGAAGTGAGAGATGTTGGGCCTTTCATCTGCATGCTGGAACCCACCATGGTGGGGAAGCTCCGATTCCTGCGGATGCCAGTGTTGAGCTGGATGCCTCCGATGGCACTGGTCACGGTAGGGCAGCCCAATGGGAGACCATCTGGTGCCAGGCCTCCAGGAACAAAGGCCCTCACTGGTCCTTGTGCCCCACAGAGAAGAGGTCCCTGGTCATCAGTTAAAGGAGGAGCTGACGTTTGCCCTGAACTCACAACTTTGGCAATACCAAACCTCTTGACTTTGTCCACAAGATTAAGGTTGGAAACAGACACGTCAGTCTGACTCTCACTGTTCCTGATGTTCTTTTTATTCCTCACCTCCTTCAAGATTGAGCTAGCGGGCTTTGAAGCCAAGAAGTTGTCATAAGGTGGGCTGGTGCACTTGAACTCAAAAGATGGAGGGGAAGAAGAAGGTGTCTGCATAGGTGAGTTTGGAGGGGTGGAAGGAATGATGGCCATCTTAGGGAGGTACGTGTTCAGGAGGGTGCCCTTGCTGGCTCTATCCCAGCTCTGTGGATTGTACACTGCTGCCGAGATGCCCCTTTCCTTCAGCAGCCACACCAGCCCCAGAGACGTGCTCATTGTTGTCGTGGATTCCCGGAGGTTAGTGAAGGATTCGGCCAAGCTCAGGCGCCGTGGGGTACAGGGGGTGGCCACCGGCGTGCCTTTCAAATTGCCAATGCTGCCACCAGCTGGAGTAGGTGCTGGGTTAAGGCTGAAAGCAAAGGAGCAGGCAAATTATTCTCTCCATTATGGAATTAAAGCTTACTTTGCAAGCAAGATTTTTAACTCCCAGCAGGGTCTTTTATCCATTTTGAGAGTGCCCACAAAACTGCCAGTTCCCAGCTCCTCACAGATGTGATGGCAAGTGCAAAAGCATCATCTCTTACAAAATACACCTCTGCACTTTGCATGCTTCACCACCCAGTCTCATGGGATTGATGCATTCCTCAGCACCCACCACCACATTTCTTCTGATAAACAAAGTGACAGGTTCCTGATCAACACGTTCAGTTTTTCTTCCTGATCTACTGGCTGTCACAACTCCCAGTTGCTTCCATGAGACAAGGATACAGAGAGGACTTGACTAATGGTATAAGCAACACAGATTTACTTTCTGATGTCACTTTGAGCACACAGGGCTGACAGTCTTTTTAGTGCTGCTGGATCATAGCAGAGACAGCAGCAAAGGAGGAGGGGAACATAACTTGCTACAGAAGCATCCATAGCAAAGCTGTTGGAAGTTGGCATTGTCACCAACACATGCTTCTGTAAAGTCAAACCCTTCTTATGTTGAATTCATTTTCACTTAAGGGTAAGGGGATGGAGGACCTGACTTTGGATGGACATGCACAATGGTGTGAATAATCTTCAAAGGTGATGAGAGAAACAGCGTCGAGCTCTGTCAGTTGGCCAATGGGTAACTGATAACTCAGCAGCAAACCAAGCATGACAAAGAGCCATCCTACTGTTCATTTCTATAGTTTGAAACATTGCTAAATTGCTCCCCAATTCCAGTTCTTTCTTCTAAAAATAAACTACATACAGGCAGTGGACTAGAAAATATTAAACGGGCAATAATCTGCACATTCAGAACAAGTGACAGACGTGACATACTGATGTTTAGTGCTCTCTTCGGGCATTTTGTTTTCTTAAGCACACTACTGCTAGTTATTAAGGGTTGGGATTTCTCGAGGAATATCAAATTGCATTCATTCTGGTGATCACCCTCTCCCCAGAAGCTGCCCATCTGACTGAACACAGACTCAATGCAACACCTATTTCCAAAGACATTCCAAGTCCTTTGTGCCACAGTTTGCAATCCCATGGACACTGAGGGTTGAGTGCTTCTGAAAATACAGTGCCATCCTTAAAAACTTTGTTCCTAATAGATCAGGTTAGCCACAGCATGTTTACCTATAGATAAGCCCCACTCAATTTATGGCAGCCCAAGGTACACCATTCATTGAATAAGGTGTGGTGTACTCAGTTATTCCAGAAACAAGGCATGTGGGACATCCACGACACTCCAAATTCATGTCTATTTGTGAGAATCCCAAGGGTTCCATTCACCTTTAAAAAAAGCTTTCCAACCTTACTCAAATGATGGGTTTTGCCACATATACAAAAATGTAATTCCACAGTAGTATTTCCTAGGCATGGATTCATCCCCTTTAATGTCATTAAATGGCTCTTGAACAATCCAACACTTGATGCTAACAGACAATTCACTGACCTGAGAGCTCACCACTGCTCAAAGAAGGAAATCTTCCCCTTCATCTTGCCAGGTTAGCAAGTAGAAGATGCTTAGCAAAGAGTCAGACAAAAGCCAAAGCCAGTGCAAGAGAGCAGGAAAACCAAACAGCTGCGAGGAGAAGGAACGGGGGAAAGAACAGGATCTTCCCTTTTCAGCAGAGCCGTGCTGTTGGATTGGCTCAGCCATAACATGCTACCTAAAAGTTGCATCAAATAGCCACACTGAGACAATCTGGCTGGATTTCCAGGTGTAGAGAAGACTCAGGCCAAAAAATGAATTGCCTCCTTTTTGTACATATGGCCAAATGAGACTGGAATTTGCAGCCTCATTTCACCTTACATTAGTGAACTCTGTGAGGTTAGACACCCTGGAATGCTTTGAGCTGAGCTTTCTGATGAGCGCAGATCATCATCTAAGCATATATAAGGTATATAAGGCACTTCTTAATTAAGGAAATATCAAGCTGATGCTATGAAACCTCAAGTCAGGTCTCTCTCCATGGTCCAAGATCTGTCGATCTCTACAATGATTTGGAACTTCTACCATAAGCAAGTGAAACTACCAAAGGTATTTTACCCTGCAGCTGTGATTCAACAAGAGGAATCCCATCTATTCCTCCCTGTAAACTGTAATGTAAAAATGTTTGAGAAAACACAGAAGTCTTGAAAAGCATGAGGGAGGGAAGAGAAAGAAAACTTACTGCCTGAACTGACTTTCTACAAGGTAGGACCAAGTACATTTTGGAAACCCAGACACAGGGTTCGTTATCAAGCTTCCAAGATGTCCTAGTCACCAGATTAAAACTACAGCACTCCAATGGCTTAATACCTCCAACAGCTTCATTCTTTCCAGCTCCAGATTTCAGTTGCACAGATACTCAGATTAGCAGTTCTACTGCTTTGTCAGCACAGAACACACTACAGAGCAATTAAAAAACCCCAGACATCCCTGCTAGAAAGCAATTGTTATGCAAGTGTTGCTTTTTTGTTTGTTTGATCATTTTGGCATCATTTTAACTGGAAAGTATTTTCTCCATCAAACTGACCAACGCTGCAGAGCAGCCTGGACACAGACACATAAATATTCAAACTGGCCTCAGCAACTCAGCCCAGTGACAATTTCAGAGTTAGATTGGGAAAAGAAACACATAAATGAGCACCTCATTTGGCTAGAGGAAATTTAGTCAGGTTAGAGCATCACCTGGGTTAGAGGCTAGGTTAAAATGCAACCAGGTAGGCAAATATCAAACCTCTTTGGGTTAGCTGGTGCCACACACATGGGCATTCCTTGGGCAAGACCCTGCCAACACAGATGCTGCTGGCAGTGTTGCTCACCCCCTGCCACGCTGGATCATAGTGTGTGCCCTATCCCTCCTCTCAGCATAAGGAGACATAATGCAGTTTCCTCGTCCTCCTCACATGACCTGTGAAGAATCGTTTACAGTTGGTAAGGAGGAGCTCCTTAAAACACATCTGCTGAAAACACCACACTGTTTATTTCCCTCTTCTTCCTCCTGAACGAATTATGAACTTTGGTTTAACTAAGGCAGCTGAAAATGTACTGAATTTAGCTGTCAGTATGGCTCATTTGTTTGAGTAACCAGCATAATCAAGGAGTTTATTATGACCATAATTAACAGCAATTCAACAGTAATAAGAAAATTAAAACAGAACTACAGCCATTTAAAAGAATCTCTTAAGTACCAGTGTTGAAGAGGGAAGACAGAAAAGAGTAAATCAAACCCAGACAGGCCATGATTAACTAAGATCAAAAAGAGAAGCAGAAAGTTACATGGACTCATCATTTAGTTCCTTTCCACCTCACGGGTTTTCATATTCAGTAATACCTTTACTTTTCATGCGTTCCTTAGGTAGTCAGTGCCCATCTCATGTCTAAACAAGTCTAGACACATCAGCTCTGGATGGGGACTCACACAACGGTACGCTCCTACACAGGAGCTGCAAGGGGCAGAGAAAGCAATGAGGCATTGTCCTTCTGAACAGATAAAACATCCTTTAAATACTGATTTGCTAAGAAAGGGAAGTTCCCTCTTTAGGTATGAAATTCACTCACCGCCTGTGGTTGTCAGACCTTCAACTATAAGGCTATCCAATTGCCTTCTGTGGGCATGTACTGCCTGTACATGCGAACTGCTCTTATTAAGCCAGTTCATTAGTTCAGTCTCACTACTATGAACTCATTTCCAACACTTAACACCAAGGAACAAAGTAGACAACTCCCTAGTTTTGACTGAGGCATGTTTCCTTCTCCACTCCTCATGTACTTCCTGCATTTCTTTACCAGAGCATCCCTTTTTCTTCCACACCAAAGATTTAGATTTACCTCCTTGGAAAAAATAGCTCCTTTTTTTTTGTAAGACAACCCATTCTGAGCATTCACACATGAGGACTACAACTAGTTTGGGATCAAGGGTCTAGTTTGGATATTGGAATCCAATTTGATTATGTTCAATCCTGCAGTATTTTAACTAGAGACAACAGAAGTTAAGCTATTTTGATTGGCTTTCTCAAACATTACACATGCCTCTGAGAAAATCAGGTTTTGAGTAACACAAAATAGGAGAAATAAGATGGGGAATGTTGTAATTCACCTAATGCTTTTGCTTATGCCATTACTTTGCTTTAGCTTAGAGGGAAAACTGATGGAGCTGAACACTTTGCCACCACGGGAAACCCTTACCTTGGTGTGACTCGTGTGAGCTCATCGGAGGGGTGCAGAATGCGGCAGGTGGTGAAGGTGAAGGTGGAGTTGGTTTGTGACATGCACTTCCCAGGATGAGGTACTACATTAAAAAAAAGCAAATTCTTTGCATTTTACACAGAAAAGGGGAAAAACCAAACTTCCATGTGCTGGTAAGACAGATGCAAGAAGTGATGAGTTACCTTGGATGGATCAATGCGAGAAAAGTGAAATACACAAGTGCTATGGTGTTCCAACAAACACTTGTTCTCCATAACAAACACATCCAGGATTCCAAGGCCAGTGCTAAAAGGGTCTGCTGAAACTTGTCCATGACCACTACACTGCAGGTAAACCTTGCTCAAACCAGATTTAGGCAGTGCTTGAAGTGCTAGTCCTCATCTAAACTAGCAACTTGCATCAGCGGGAAGTGACAAGCAGCAATTTCTAGTACCAGCTCAGGAGCACTAAGATTTTCTGAATGCCTTTGCATTTCAGCTTTTAGATTGATCCACAACAAGGTATCCCCATTACTTCTCAGTAGTGGATCCAGCTTGCTAATGGGAATATAGATTGTTGGGGTGGGAAGGGGATGGACACATATTACTGTTTCTGTCTCTGCCTTTTCACATCCACAGTAAGGAAAGCGGTAGTTTTTCTGATCCACTACTGCCCATCTGTGACATTTCTCTTGTGCATGTGTTTAGGTTCTTTAAGGTCTGTCCTCAGCTGAGTGACATAGCAGGGTTTGAATATTTATAAACAGTGTAGGAAATAATTTTCCCAACAAATGTGGCTGTAAAAATGCCATTCTCAGTACATCAGTCATTTGGGAAAGAAGCAATATAGCCAATTTAAAAAACGAAGGACTTACTCAGGCCAATTTCCTTCTCCTTAGTAGAGATCCTTCTATGGATATACTATCCTGCTATATAAGGCAGCTGTGGCCATTGCAGAATAGCTACAAAATTTAAGAGCCATGCATCTGAAAAGCTGGTTGAAAACCACCCAGCATTAAATATTCCACCAAAGATATCATGATTGCATAGGTTCTCTTACTTAGTAACCAAACTCAGCAGTGGTCAAAAGACATGCACAATTAAAATCCGTGTGCAGCTCCCTCCCTCTCCATTCTACCCAACCCTCTGAGCCATTCCCTGATTAAGCCCCATTTTAATATCACAGTACACAACTATTCAACACATTGCAAAGGACAGACAGACTGACCAACTAGAACAGACACCATCCTGAACTTCCAGAGATGCTTAGCAGAAGCAGAACAAGTCTTAATTGTGGCTGTGTTCCCTTTTTCATATAGAAAGTATCACAGCTCCAAAATAGTGTGTGCAACTAGGTACTCCTTTAAGATGACATCTAAGCAGTGTGTGAAGGGGAGAGCATGGGGAGTGTGAACAGTGGAAGCAGAAGTGGCTAAGCATAAAATGTGAAGCTATTTAGCACTGGAATGTACTGCTGTACATTAAAGAAGGGTATTTCTAAAAGCCTACTGGAGTGTTAGGTTAACACACTCAAATGTTAGCACAGCATGACATAATAACAAGCTCTACTTCACCTCCAGAGATGGTAATTATGCTGCTTCAGGAATCCAGTTGCTTTAGAGATTAGTGTGAGCACTATAAAATCTATTACAAGGGAGCACAGCCTAGCAATCATGATTCTCTCCATATTGTAGAGAGTTAAAATCTGGAGAAAAAGCTCAAATAGCTGGACATGAAAAAATTGGTTAATTCGAGAAAACGAAGGACTTCAACATAAATCAGGTAGAAACAAAGCAATTATCCCTGGATGATGAATAGAGAAAAGAATAAAGCAATGCTGGTTTAAGACTGCAAGCTTAACCCAAAGCACATAGCTGGAATACAATAAGTGCATTTTCCCCATTCGTGATATCCATTGGGAATCCCCCCAGACTGGAAACAGGCACACTGAAAATACACAGCTGCGTTAGCAAAACCAAGACCCATTGCTCTTAATGAGTCAGCGATAGGAGAAGGCTGCTAAAAGTAGAGAAATCACTGGTTGTAATAAGAGGAAATAAATCAAAGCTATTTAAAAAATCATCCATTTCCAATGATGTATTCCACCCTCAAATACCACTAAAAAAGTCCTGTACCAGCTTCATCCTCCATCAGTCAACACATTGCTGTAGCGTTTTCCATCCTTTGGACACAATACAAAGAGAGTGAGTGAGAATCTGTGGCTGTAAATGAACAAAGTTTATAAAATAAAACCAAAATCATTCATTCCTAACCTAGTAATTCCACATAAGAATGGCCATCTCCTGAGTTGGTATAAGGTTGTGAGGAATTGATACATAAGGTTATAGTGAGAGACTATCATTACATGTACATACAGGAAAGTATTATTTTAAACATAAACATCTGCTCCAAGTGACTGTCTCAAACCAAATGTTTGATATGCTTTATTCTTTTTCAAAGCAGTAGTAGTTTAACAACAAGGCTTCATATCTGTATGAAAAAGAATCCGTACATAATTCAGTGTTTAACAGAATTTACAGAAACATCATTTAATTTCATCCATCAAGAAACCATAAATCAAACTGCTGGTGCATTTTTCCCTTAAGTACAATTCAAGCTAAACCTTAGACTGCTGCTGGACTGTGTTGTGTCTCTCAGTAATTTACCTTATTTTCTCAAACAATTTGTAGGCATTTTGAAAAAAATGTAAAGCATTATAGCTGGAAGAGACTGTCCTGTAAGCACACACACTGTTGTAAAAACATCTTCTAAACTACTGCAAAGAAAAGCAGGTACCAGTCAAACTGAAGCAGAGAGCTCCATCTTCTGGGAAAACAGAGCTTTCCCCACTCAAACAAAAAGCTACAGAGCTACATAGATCCAGCTGTTCTCACGAGCTTATGAGCCATCCTGCTTGGTGCAAACAGCAGCACAGATGTGGATAGGACAGGCTCAGGGAACCCTCAAAAGACCATTTAATCTGGATTTTCAACCAACTGGTGCAGAGGAAGGTACAAAGATATAGGAAACAAACTAGTGGCCACAAAAAGGCATCAAGACAGAGTATGAGGAAGATTTGGATGAGGTAGCTATGCTAAGACACCATTAACTTCCACACCATTGGTTCCAAACTCAAATTTGCTGTGATGCTAGAGGGACAGTGAGGAAGCAGAGAGCTCAGAGTGGTCAGTAAATCTCTGTGTTTTATATAAACACCTATTCTGGCAAATACAAATTTATTCAAAAATGAACTTTCAATAAAAAAAAAAAAAAATCAGAAATCTTCAGAGTCTGACTCGATCCAGACTGGCACAAAGGTGATGTTTTAGTCCAGCTCTGAAACAAGCCACTCTGCTCATCATTTCTTTGGCATGTTGTAAGAAAAGAAGAAAACCTGGTTACCACTGGAATTTGGGCATCTCTTCAGCAGTGGCTGGCGAGACAGGGATAGAATGACAATCAGGCTGGGGGCGTCCTTAGAGCAATGGATGGTGTTTAAAGCATTAGAACTGTATTTTATTGCTGAACAAAAAAAAAAGCTCTGCCTGCTTTGACAGAGGATAACCATTAAGAGGCACTTTCTTTCTCCAGTGTGATCATCTAGAATACAAGTTATGGACTCGACTTTTGCCAGTCTATGTCACCAACTCCATTCTCGGGCAAGGTGAAGTTCCTGAAAACTAGGTTACAGAACCCCATTAGGTTCCACAGGACAAGAAGCAGCTACAGGTACTCTAAATTTAGCAGAGTTCATCCCCTCTGGGTGACCAGAGGTGAGAGTTCTGATAACCCAGTGCTACCTGTACTGAAACCCCTGCCTGACAGAACAGAGAGCATAGAGGGAATGCTGGAGCAGGATTTTCTTAGCTTTCCTCTGGTGATTGTCTCCCTCTCATATGTTTAAAACCACGCACAGATGTAAAAAGACTTCAAAGTAATCAATGTGGCTTCAACACAAGTCTATGCAGCCCAGGGTCCCCAGATTAAAATCGTAGCATTTTAAAAGCACATACAGAAACTGCTGACAGACTTTTCTTAAAGAATTACTATGAAATAGTCATGCTATTTGAAAATAAAGTATATTTAAGTATGCATCAAAACCTTAGTTCTAAGAAGAGCTACAAGATTCATTGCTTTTCTGAACAACGGTAACCTCTTAAAAGCACGGATAGCAATCCTGCTAAAAGCAACTCAAACATAAGACATTCATTATGTGGTTTTGTGAGTTTAGGCACCTATTTGGAAAGATCTCCATGTCACGGTCAAGGTCTAAACATGAAGTACAAGAGGGCTGACTAATGTTGTGCATGTCTGTTCAAAGCAATGCATCAGTGGAACCAACATACGCAAGTATTGAAAGACTAGTTCATGCACCCAAAACCAGCATGCAATTAAGCACACGCTGAATCAAGTGTGGTCCTTCCAACTTCAGAGTGAGAACATTCACATGTTATTAAGTGCTCTGAAAGGATTGGTTTTGGTTGGGTTGGTGTTTTTTTTTGGTTAAGGGAAACCTAAAAGGCAATGAATTACAGAAAAAAAACCCCCAACCCCAAACCAAACAACCCCTCCCCCAAACAGACTCTGTCTTTTATAATATACTACAGTTTCTTTCAAAGAATAAAAAAAACAAACACTGAGGTTACAAAAAAAGTGTTCTGCAAAAATGACTTGTCCTAGATGGCATTACCATGACTGGTGTTCTAGAACTTCTTTACCATTACAGTTATGCTGACAAGTGATATACAGATTTCAATCTAATTCCTGGGTATTAGGCTAAAACTGTGATTCCAGGATTTACAATCTTCCATAAAGTTACTCCAGCCCACACACAGTATGTAGCAGTGAGAGACCAAGTGCAGGTCATAAAATACACAGGTGTTAACTTCTGAAATGCTCAGTGCCATAACTGGGATATAATCTGCATCTACAGTGAGGAAGTTATTTTATATGCCAGTGGATACTACAGGTTTCAACATAGGGACAAGAAAATTCAAGAATCATAACTTTCTCTCATTTAGAATGACTTCTGATTCTACCCATCACTCAACAAGAAGCAACTGAAAATGCCTTCTGAATACATTTATTTTGGCAATAAGACACTTTGGGCACTACCAGCAAGCTTTGCTCTCCTGGATGTTCAAATGTTGACTTCTCTTAGCCTCATGTACTCTGCATGCCCACAAAATGGCAGTAAGAATAGGACTTCACAGTACTCTGCGAGAGAACACCTCATCTCCAGAGCAGAAATGGTAAGAGATGAACTTCAAAACATACATATGAAATGAAGCAGACACCTACCCAAATTTTGGGTAGGTTACACCCAAAGTTGACTTACACCCCTTGGAAATGGTCCTCATAGGCACTGTATTTCCAAAGATGTATTGTTCTCAGGTTGGAAGACCTGCAGCTCCAGACTGGCATACTCTGTGGTCTTCCAATAGCAACCGTAGGGAGATACTTGCTGGCTTTTATGAACCTCTTGAACTAGATTTTTCCACAATGGAGCTATCCTGGATTACAAGCATAAGCACTGAAGATTGCTTCCAAGATATTTCTCTCCTTCCCTTTGTTTACTTCCACATTCTCTAGCAAGAGCTTATTCTGTATGTTGCCAACTGGCATCTCCTCTGGAATCGTGGAAGCAATAAGGTCATAACCTTGTGCTTGTGACAGTGTTCTGAGGAACCATGTGGCCATACACACGCCTACCTGCAAGGCATTTCTTACAGAGAAATCAAGGGGAGGCAGAAATAATGCTTTTTCAAGAGGAGCAATGGCTGCACAATAGTTAAACACAGCAGAAATTCATTAAGCTAAACACACATCTCTGCTCCCAAAGGGTATTCTGCGGTGGATCCTAAAAAGCCCTGCCACATTAGTGCCTAGTCTGAAAAACAATTATCTTTTCCTTATATACCACCTGACAAATGGCTTCAACAACAAGCAGATACAGCAGTGCCTTGGCTTCACTGGAGCAATGCAACAAAAGGGATGTGGTGGCTCACGGATACTCCTAAAACTTAAGCAGCTGGGCAATTTGAAGGAAGGATAAAGAATGAGAAATTCAAGTTTTGTTCATTCCACACAAAGTTATTAATTTCAACCAGTTTATCCATTTCTGTAACATATTAAAATTCCTCAGCAAACAATATAAGATGAAATAAGAAATTTCATAATTTTACCTACATTGCCACTTTATCATGTAGGGAATATGCTTAAAACCCTTGTCTGAGATAACTATAGAGTTATCCCAGGCAAAATCACCAGTAACCAGGGAATAATCTGTTAATAACAGTGACCTGTATTCAAACTGTAATGGGAGAGAGAAAATGGAGGGCAACACTAAGCCTTCTTGCCAGTCTAATACTAGTCTTTCTAACCACAGCTCAGGACTACATTTATTTTTCTAGTCCAAGGAAAGAACTCTTCCAAATCATTACCCATACATATTTTGCTAATACATTCTTAAAAGACCCCAAAGAACTGAGATGTGTCTATATCCTTGTCTATATATAGTCCATGACAATAAGTTTCCAAATTTTCTACATGTTCCTGTGTTGAATATTTGTACAATTAGAGAACTCTTCACCTGAAGTGTAATCCAAACAGCTGCTTTTGCACAATTATTGTAACCTGAGTGCATGAAGAACTGCTTGTTCCCTTCCTCTCTGCAGCTTGTTCCCCTCCTCTCTGCAGCAATACATTTTAAAATGAAACACATCTTTTGTTGAACCTTTTATTCCATAGTCTTTGATTATTTGTCCATGTTTCCTAAATCTCTAGCTTTTCTAGCTGTTGTTATTCAGACTCTTCAAGATGATAAAACCATGGATAATATCCAAAACTGTACACAGCTCCTGCAGAGGCATGATTTATTTCTATATCAATATATAAAAAAATAATATAATCATTATTCCTAGGCACTAGATCTCATAGAATAAATAACATTTTTGCCAATGTAAAAGTAAGTTGAAGAGTTTGAACGTTTAAGCATTGGAACAGGCTGCCCAGGGAAGTGGTTGAGTCACCATCCCTGGAGGTATTTAAAAGATGTGGTGCTTATGGACATGGTTTAGTGGTGGATTTTCAGTGTTAAATAAATATTGGACTCAATGCTCTTAAGATTAAGATTAATCTTAACACAACTGACAGGAAAAAAGTAGCTTATATTCAGTAGTTGAAAGCACTGACATGCCATTTCAGCGAGAGTTCAGGACACTCTACATTTCATGAAAGTAACAGAACTGTTATTGTCTAGCCCCGAGACAATCTAATCTTCTAAAGACCAGCTAAATATTAAATTATCATTTATCCCAGAAAGGAGGGGGAAGGAAGTGTCTCCACTGAAAGCAGTTATACAAAAAGTCTGAAGAAATAGGAGTTCTGGTAGGTTTTTTATTCTGGACTAAATATAATTCTTTACCAGTAGCAAATCTTAATGAAGACTAACACTCCTATATCGATTATATAAAAACCAGAACATAAAAAACCAAAACAGTGACAAAAAAAGAAACCATAAACTCTAGGCACATCTATAGCCTGAGAACCTGTAACCTTGTGCAACTGTAGACTGCAAATGTCAGTTCAGACAATCAAATAACTCGTGTCACTTAAAAATATTTAAGTCTTCATATGGTATAAATAGGAAGAACTTAATAGTGTGGTGGAGGGTGAATGAAGGAAATGACATTTCTCAAATGTCTGCATAAAAATATCCTTTTAATTCTTTATCTCAAAGGGAATTTAAAAACAGGTCACTGTACCTGAGGGAATTGAACTGAACTTGCACTTGGGTTCAAACTTCAACAGGGGACATTCAGATGAGATCTTAGGCAGAAGTTCTTCCCTGTGAGGGTGCTGAGGCGCTGGCACAGGTTGCCTAGAGAAGCTGTGGCTGCCCCATTCCTGGCAGTGTTGAAGGCCAGGTTGGACACAGGGGCTTGGAGCAACCTGGTCTAGTGTGAGGTGTCCCTGCCCATGGCAGGGGATTGGAACTGGATGAGCTTTAACGTCCTTTCCAATCCAAACCATTCTATGAGTCTATTTCTTTGCTTGATTTTCAAGGCACTTCCATTTGTTTCAGCAAAGACAACCTAGATGAACCTTTTGTCATCATTTAGTCTTTGGTTTTTCCCAAAGTACAAAAATCTAAAGCATAGCATCACGTCTTATGAACACTCAGAAGAATCTCTGCACTATAAGCCTACAAAATATATATCATCTATGCATTATATACACTGAAGACTGTGCACTAAATAGACATAAAAGTTGTGTAAGTGCCAAACGAAGCTTTGTGAACAAACCACTTCCTTTTAGCAGCCTTCTCTTATCAAAATACAGTAAAACATCAACCACAGATGCTGTTACTGAAAAAAAAAACCCCAAAACCTAAAAAGTCAAATTAAAAGATTATTAAAGAAAGGATTTTTGAGCCAATGTTAGAATGGTTATGTTCTGCACACATTAACGTGCAGATGCTACACACAAAGCCACATTATGGATGCTGTTCTGGACAGATGTGAGAATGGCCCAGAAATCCATATCCTGTAAAGATGTCAGTTTTACTGGACTTAATGAGTTTCCCTCACCAGACCCCTCATCATCGTCAGCCGTGGACTCCTGCATCTCCTCTGTGAAAGCCTGAGATTGGCGGGGGTTATTCTTGTTGTCTGAAACAGTCACTTGTGCTTGTGACCTCTCACCTGAGGTCTCTGTGTGCTGAACTGGCGTCGAGGTAGTTAGGCCCTTGTAAGAAATGTCACCTGTCTCATCTTCCTCATAGTCATTAAGGCAGTACACTTCATCCAGGTCCAGGTCCAAGGTCCTGAAGCCCTTAGTGACAACCCCAGGCCTCGGGTCCAGGATGCCGCCCAGGTGAGGCTGAGCCAGCTGCTGCCAGTGGTGCAAAGTGGCAGAACCTTGAAATGGAACAAGACAGACAACCAAAATAAATCAACCATCAATCCAGGACCTTAAAGGCAGAAAATCCCACTTTGTTTATCCAGAAGACCAAAGGTTTGGGAGCTCCAAACCTTTAATGCTTCTGGCTTTAATATTTCTAGGAAGACATGCTGCAAGGCAAAAACTGTTTCACTTACTCTTAAAACATTTCCACACTAATATGAAATAAACTGATTGCATCAGCACTTAGATAGGCAAAGACTGATGGTAAAATGTGGCATACTTTGCAACATCTTTCCCCATCAATTTCTCATCCCCCTAAATTCATGGGAGTAAGCACAAGCAGAAAGACTTTAACAGTTGATCTGAACACCATCACAGAAAGCTCTAAGAGGAACATATACCACATATTCCCACAATAAGTTCACACTAAGGAAGATGCTGAAAACATGCCTAAGTTTACTACTGGTGGCTAACAGGACAGCAGTCACATAGGTTGCACAGCAATTTCAGCTTCCTACCATACATTAGAAAGACACATAAACTTCAGGCACATGTAAGCAGGCACCTCTGACCTATATATCAAGTCTATCTCTATCCGAGCCCCTGTGGTTCAAGAGCTCGACTACCATGTAGCTAAATACTACCATACCTGTGGCTTCATCCTTGGCAGAAAAATATTTTGAGTGAGGAAAGAGGTGCATTTCACAGGGAAAAGCATTCAATATTCAGCATTCAATAGGAGACAATGAGTTAGAAACAGCAATATATCAGATTAGATTTCCCTTATTAAAGATGGGCCCACTGAACCAGGGAAGGGTTTATCTGATTCTTCAAGTAGTGATTGAACACTGCTCGCAAGGGCCTACATTATTCTATGTGCCCACCGATTACTACTGCATGACTTAAAACTATACATCTCAGGTGCTGTGACACAAAGAAAACATCTTTATTTCACTTCCACCAGTTCAAATCAGAGCAGTTTTTGTTACGTTGTTCCTGTCCCCTCTCCCCAAAGCAGAATACTGACTCATTCACCAAGCTGGCACACAAAAGTCTCACCAATATTCAAAGACTAAGAAAGTTGAATTTGTTGCATGGTGTATGTAAGAATCTAACCCACTGTAATCACTAGGGAAGGGTTGGCTCTTACCTACGTGATTTTGCATCTGAGAAAACCCCTATGGAATGAGAAAAACTATCACTTCATAATAAATATACTGCATTACAGGAAGCTTACTGTAAGTGGGGAGTAAACAGAGAAAAAAGTCTTTTGAATGATTTGGATAAATTAACTAGCATTTTAATTAAGCATGTATCACTTTTTTAAATCTGCAATTTTTAGCTCAGAATAAATGATCTGCTCTATCAGTTTGAATATTGACCCTATCTTACCCCTCTCCCTTTATATAAAGTAAGTTTTGAGAGACAAAGGAGGATTCGCACACTTGAGGCTCAAGAAGTAGAAACCATTACAACTCCAAAATAAATAACTGTAGGGAAGAGACGTCCCCCTAACTTGTATTTATTTCTGAACTGTCACAAAGGTCGAGGTTTTTGATTCTATATTTTTAAAAACATTCCAAAATGTGGAGAAGTGCCAGATATTGTCAAGCCGTAAGCAAGAAGCTGTGTTTTGCTGTGTGACAATACTCTCAACAGTTAAAGAACAACAGAAATCAAAATCTTTTTCTGTGATGCGTGCAAGTATAAATCCTGTTACTGATTAAATTCTACATGAAAGCTCCTGCAGATGTAATCTTTTTCACCTTAAAGCTCACCAAAACTTGTACTCAGAAAAAACGTTGCAGAGTATAAGCATTTAATTGATAATATATTAAATCTTTCCCATGGAAAGATATTCACCAGAATATCTTCATCTACATTTCTATTGATATAACATGTTCTCAGTTTCTTTTGGAAACTGGAAATCAAAGCGGCCTGAATTTTATCACGAAAAGGAGGGTACCCGAGTTTAATCTTGATCTCATAAAAACATGTGGAAGGAAAATTTAAGTTTGCCATACAGAAAATTAACATTGCAGAAGGCAATTCAACAGTTGTCAGCTCCCTCATGATATGAAAAAAATCCAAACCCAAACAAAAGTTAGAAGCAAGAGAAAGTCAAATGAAGAGGGAAATGCAACACCTTGGCCTATATTCTGTCCCAGGCTCCTACCAGACAGTTTTATACATTATGTTCTCATGAGTGTTCAACAGTGGGCCTGCCAAGCTGAAGCAAGAAGAAATACAACAGCAAAATAAGTATATGATCAGAATAAATGAAAACTGGGGTTCTACTCCTGATACCTGCATGATCACATGTCCACTACAGGGGTCAGAGGAAGCTAAGAAATTCCTGATGTGTTGCTGCCACAATTGCAATGAAGTGGGTGAAGACAATCAGTCCAAGGTTCTAGTTCTACAGCACACAGGGAGTGGTATTTTGTGCTTATGGCACAAGCAGCTGCAGATGCACAGTTTAAAACCAAGCCAAATAAAAAAATCCACTAGGCTGTAACTAAGACAAGTTACATCCAGCAATCACTATCCGACTAAAAGAAAGCATGTGGTTTGAGGTATTTTTAAAGGTGCAAAAGAAGATTCATTTCTTATTGCTGCTGTCACCCTATGTATTTTACTGTGGGATTTCAAAGATTGCTTTAAAAGAGTATAAGCCATTAACTGGAAATTTATTACAGAACTGATAAGAACTGATTTTTATTTCTTCCATTTTACAACATAAGCACCCTTAGGAAAACAGTAATAAAAAAGGCAGAGGAAATGATTACAGTCTGCAGGTACAGCAGAGGATTTTTGCCCCAGTAGTGTGAAAGCACCCACGAAGTTGAAAAAAACCTCATGAAAAACACTCAGGAACAAAACCAAGCTGAAATGAGGAACAGAATCGTAAATATGTAATTAATAAAAGGTAACAAACACTAAACTTAAGAAACAGGCAGACACAAATATACTACAAATGAGATCTAAAACTAACCATGAGAAGTGCTTTAAAAGGTGTGGTAATTTTAAGGACAAAAATGACCCAGTGAGAACAATGAACAAAACCAGGAAAAAAAAAGCCCCAGACAGACAGAAAGATGATAAAGACTTTAACAGTTTATTGGAAGAAAAAAGCTGATATAATGGGATGGTGACAGAAATCTATTACAGTGGTAGCAACCAGTAACTGAAACAAAGCTGGATTATTCCTTCTCTCATGTGGTAGAAGAACTTCTACGACCATTTAAAAAGCAGTCATGAAAACAAACTACTAAATTCTGCTAAACAGTATGGTCTTGTGCACTGTGGCTATGGTTTCATTTGAATATGGAGATACAGCACATCACTTCAGGACACAAGAAGGGTTATTTTTGCTTCTGACTATGTGCCATGCTAAATGCTCCTTATAAATGAAATAAATTTGTTCTCAAAAGAGGAACAAAAGGAACTTTCGCAGTTAAATCAAGCAGACATTATAATATAACACCAGAGCTCTGTTAAAGGAAATGAGAGGGAGAAACCAAAGCTAAATCATGTAAACAGCAAATCTGTGAAGAACTACAGGGAAACAGTTTCATTTTTTTTAAAACCTGAAGGACTTTACTCAGCTAACTTCCAGCAACAACCTGAAAGGACTGAAGAAAGCCAGACAGACTATATTATATGTGCTCTATCAGCTTTGCAAGATGGACTACAGAAATGCACTTTGAAATAAAGCTCTCGCCCTGACTACCATCTACCTATATCTTGCCTTTTCTGAGACAACATACGGGGGAAATTTGACTTTAAAAAAACCCAAACTTATTTCACACATGAAACCCAAAGCCATAGAGACTCATGTATGGCCACTCAAACTGCCAATTAAAGTCCAGAGGTAAATTTTGAATCACAAAATTAGTTCTATTGGACATACTGGACTATTCGAAGTAGGTAAAGGTCTTTCCAGACATTTATTTGCAGAACTGAGATTTGATGAACAAATATTTCTGCTGCTTAGACTTCAGATACTCAACAACTTTCCTTTCCTAAGTATGAAACAGCAACATTAAGATTTAGGTCAGGTGTAAAGCCTGCACTGCATGTGTGGCCTGCAACATCTATTTTACTGCCTTGGCTGGAATTGTTTCCTAATTTTAAGGCTTGTGGAAAAACATAGTAGTTAAAAGATTTCAAACCAACAGCGTGGATTACTGTCTCTAAAGTAAAAAGAGTATGTATTGCAAAGATTTCCTGCTTTCTGGTGATGGATAAGAGACCACAAAGAGTCACTAAGAACAACAGATAAAGGCCGAGGCCCTTTGTTATCACCTTCTAGTGGTTTCACAATCTGAAGCTTTTCTGGCAGGTAGGAGCGAGTGCTGATAGACATTCCTGAATATCCAGTGAATTCGGAAAACCTTGAGTGAGTTCCCAGCGACATGATGCTCTCAGTGGGGGTAATGGAACCACTATGGAGTTCACCCTTTTCTGCCAGTTCCCGCAACTTCCTTTCCTGCTCTTCTTCAAAGAACTTCCTCTCCGAGAGGTAATTCTCCCTCCTGAGGGACAGCCTACGAAGGGCAGTCTCTAGGTCACTGGAGCCTGGAGTCCCTGGAGTTCCAGGCTTCTTCATCCTGTCTTCATTTCTAAAATGTAACAGAAGACATATACACACACCAAAAAAACAGGAGGGAAGGGAGAAAAAAAATAATTCTTAGTGATGCTTAAAATTTCCAAGTGACAATTTTGAGACATTCACCCATACCTTTTGTATGGGTGAATTACTATGTGTGGGAACAACTTGCTACTTCTCTGGAGAGCTGAAAGGCAAACACGAATAAATTCTCTCTTTCATACTAAACCAGTTTGAATCCTAGCTCCTGCCTGGAAAATCCTGGTTGGAAAAGCTGCACTCCCACCTCGGTTGAGGAAGCTCTGAGGTAGAGATGTCTACTTGTTGTGTGTATTATGGTTACACAAACTCAAGTAAGTAGGCCACATCTTACAGGGCCAACACTGCAAGAATACCAGTATGAGTCACAAGAGTATATGACACTGACAAATATGTATGAACATATATGTTCATTATGTTCACATATATGAACAATATTCATTGTTTTGAGATATTAAGCAGTTTTTACTGGAAAATATACGCAGCATAGTGTGGAGTTGTACAGGGGGAACACAGGCAGCTAGAAGAGCAAAATTCTGATCAGTTTCATTCACAGGTTGTCGTATTTGGTAACCTACACATGCACACTGCATATTTACTTAATTTTAGGATCAAAAGAGTTAGCAGCAGCTGCAACTTAGATCAGAACTCGCTGGCATTAATGTAAAACGGTGCAAATATGATTTGGTTTAAGTGTTGACCCACAGTTCCAAAGACAAAGGGTAGTTTTACACCATCTGGGGATGCAATCTCAGAACAGGCACAGGCTGCAGATGCTGATACACAGTTCTTTCAAAAAGCTTTCCTTTCTAAAGAAACCTGAGTGCTCAAGAACTATAAGCACAAAATAAATAACTTCTGAAGACGTATGTCACTGTGTTAACTGCACAATGTAAGACAAAAGGAGGAAAACAGAAACGCTTTGCCTTTATGTCAGAAAGAAAGCAAAAGTGAAGTCCAGTGCTACAGTACTCACCCGTTGTCAGAGGATTCTGTCTCTAAGATGATGCTATTGGTCTTGTTGTCTATTGTAATATTAGAGATGTCTCCCCCATAGAAACTGGAACGTGGAGTGCTGACACAGCTAGACATGACTGAGTTCATAGCAGAGGATTGGTTAGAGCCTGGGATATTCATTGGTGATGGAGTCATAGATCTCTGCTTGACAACTTGGTTGACATTTCTCACTGTCTCAAAGACGCGCTTCTGATGACTGTAAGACACAGACACAGTTAAGGTTCACAAAGTGCCTTCTTACCTTAAGAAGGAAGAGAGGAACAGGTAACAGCTTGTTAATGACCCTTTCTATTCGCACCTCCAACAACTACTCTGTCTTTACAGTTTCTGTAAAGTAGTATGCACACGGTCTCATACTCACTACAGTCTGGCCATCACATTCAACCCACCAACAAAATACTTCCATCGTCCTAGATTATTTTAGACAGAATATTTGAGAATTATGTGCATAACTCTCAATTATGCTCAAATGTTAACAAAAACTAAGTGAAAGGGCATTTCCATACACCAGCTACAAACACCTTCAAGCCATTGTGTGAAAATGAGTTTTTAAAAAACAAAATTGTTCTCCATTCAATTCTTAACTATGAACTGGCTAATCTATTTTAAAAGAGAACCTGAATTTACTCTACTGAGTACCTCTATGCAAGCAAGTCTTGTACCTTTTCCTTTCTCAAACCAGTTTCCAATCCCTTTATAATGGACCAGGAATCTAGAGAGAGGCTGCCAAGGCTGGAAAACTAATTTTTGACCTACTTCTGCAGTTCACTCTTTATCACCGTTGTCCTGATATAACGACAAACACTGTTCATCTGCTTTAAGATCAGATGACACTTCAGCAGAAATTGCTTGACAAAATAATCTTGCCCTACATCATGCTACAGAAGTGCCACTGCTGCTTTGTTTTACAGTTCAACAGTTGCTGAACACAAGAACAGCACACCCCTTCCAGTTTAAAGGTAACAATGCCAGGGTATCAACCAAGTACCAACCACCCTGAATCCCCTTCTGCACTGGTGTTCTCCCTATAAAAACTGGATTAGATCAATAATTACCTGGTAACTTCTGTTATAAAACCTGAAGAGAGAACCTGAGGAATTGAACTCATCCCCTAATCATTTACTGAAGAAACTACACAAGAAAACAAACCTCTTCTCATTCTCAGCTCTCAAGAAAAAGGACAAAAACATAGTAAGACAAAGCAAAACCCTTTCTATATATAATATGTAGGCATTTTCTTTCGGTAGCTTTAGCAGAATATATAACCACCAGACAATTTATTTTGTTTTCTATCATTCACACTCTGCCAGAAATATTTCTTTCTAAATCCCTAGCTCAACTATTTCCTGTCTTTTCCTTTCTCATTAAATAATAATTAACTTCAAGTATAACTAGTCAATAAGGAACCAATTCTTTCCAGACGTACGCAAAATCAGGAGAGTCGGGTTCATCTAAATGCAGTTCTTTTCTCATTGACCCTTCTATCTCTGCTGCCAAAGAATCCTGTTAAAAATAAGCACAAAAGAGAAACAAATATCATAGTATTCATAGGTTGTCTTTGCAGAAAATAATTAATTATAAAAATAATCAGCAACTAATAAGGTGTCATTGCTGAAAAAAAGAAACATTTAAAAATGAAAATTGACTGGAAAGCTAGAAACTATTACGTGTATCTAAATCACTGACAAATTGCAGCTTAGCCTCATACTGCTACAGCAGTTACCATCCAAAACCATGTAACATTGTCAAAAACCCTAAAACCACATCACAGCAACAACAGAATTCAGGTACCCCAATTTCCCAGACTGAATTCCCTACTCAGTAACATCCATCTTGCACGTATAAAGTTTTGCTTAATTAAATTAGACAGAAAACATTTCAAAACATTACCCACCCAACCCACAAAAGACATGGTTCTTAGCATAAAGCATTCTATACTTCCTCCAAAAGGGCTAAAGATGACAGGCTATTAATTTTCCACTATTGGTCAGTCCGTTTTACTGCCTGAATGTAGTTAAGTGCAAGATCTAAGTGTCAAACATTCACAAATTTAAACCATCTTTGGTCCCATGATTCAGTACTTGAAAAGAATTTTTATACAAAACACACAAACCTATCTCAGAACAAATCTTTTGCTACTTTCAACTGTATTTGTGCAAGTGTTACTTGTATAATTAAATGTCTGTATTTCAACCTGGCCTGTGCTCAGTCTCAGAAGGGAACACAAAAAGGCAAGCTAGGCCTTTGCTGACAATTCAGTTCTTGTGAGCACAAATCTAATCTGTGTTGTTCCTCAGCAGTAAGATGAGACATGGCTAAAGACCAGGAGGGCCAGCTTCTACTGTTTGATTACATTAATGTAACTCAAAAGAAGCTTCACTGATGTCACTGCTCTCAGAAGTAAAGAAATTATTGTAGAGATACACAGGCAAGCAAAGCCAGGCACTGAGCTTACCTAGACATTCTTATTTTCTTTTTTTCTCCTTTGTTTGAGGGCATTGCATATTCCCCATGCTTTTAATGTCATGGGGATGTCATAATGTCATAATCAAATGAAACTAGGTGAACAAAGCTGGTAACACCAGTCACACTGGGGGAACCGATGTTGCCATAATACATATCAGCAACAAAAATTCTTTTAATGAGCCTCTAAATTTAGAGTGACCCTAAACCAAGAATATATGTGTAACCAATTCAAGTATTTAAGAACTAGAATGTATATCATAAGTGACTAGAAGAATGCCAGTTTTTTTTCTGAGGTCTGCTTACCATAGGGAAGAGACCAAGAGAGTGGTACCGACGTGATACGGCATTTGGCATAGTCTTGTTTCTAAGGTTTTTCAGCTCTTCTTGAGCCTCATGAAGCATTTCCATGCACTCTGCATACTTGTCTTCCAGCTCTCGCAACTGTAACGTACAGAAAACAGTCCAAGACCTTATAGGCTGCACTGTCACGAGAAAAAGCCTACCAATTCTTTTGACACTGGTAAAAGATAATAATGGTGTAGAAAACAATATTCCACTTTAAAGTAAGAGAACTTCAACAAGTGAATATCACTGAAAATCATTCATAACATGGATTAGTAATGGGAAAGGTGGTGGTGGTGGGATGCACACACACAATGACACATGACTATGATGCAGGAAGGAACTGCTTGCTCTATTTCCTACCCCAAGTATCTACACGAAGCCACTGCCAAGGAGAAGACATAGAGCTGAAAGTATCCTTAGTCTGATCGGGTATAGTGCCTAATTGCTGCCATGACTGCCACAGTGGCAAACAGCATGAGGAAAGGACAAGACATTACACATTGCTCCAAAGGACTTGAGAATTTTAAAACCAAGACAAACTTACATACATACATATATATGTACACATATAACTTCCAACCTAAGACTATGCCTTAATTTTAGCTTAACTTTCTCAGGAAACACATCTTAAGTAATCACTCTGTCTTCAGATGTCTGTGTCCCCTCATAGATTTTGAGTTCATCAGCAATTTCAACCAAGTTTGTTAAAGGGGCAGAAGTCTGAAATACCACATTTCTACAAGTTTCTTAAAAATAAGCTAGTTGGCTTAGAAAGAGAGATCCTGTTATTGTCCTTCCTAAGAAACAGATGGAAAAGCATGAGCTCAATCTTCGTAGAGCACCCCACAGGTAGCAGGAAAAGCTTCTATGGGCATTTCCACCTTCAACACCAAGTAGTCCAAGTGGAAGACACTTCCTAAAGGGATCAAGGTTTATTCATTCTATTTTGTCCATTTTGTTCATGTGAATGTAACACCCAGAAAACAGCCAGAAATTCTGGACTACCTTTGGCTTATTAACTGAACAAATATAGTATGAATGAGCTCTTTCACTTTCTCTCACTTCAAAATAGACTTAAACTACAGGCCTAGAGAAGTCAACCTCTAAAGGGGCTCCTATATAGCCCATAAGCCTCAGATTTTCAAATGAATACCAACTGAAGGAGAGAACAGGAAGGAAAAAATTTTGAACTCTACCAGGAACATAAATGTTCCTTCATTCCATATACATACACAAAATTATTTAATACTTCTGATCCAGCTTAGACTAAAACTCTTGTGGTAAGGTGAACAGCCATTGCCCTACTGCTAAATTATTGTAATACTAAGCACTGTACTCACCTCTGCTGTGAGCTGTCTCTGGGCATCTTTAGCTGCTCCCAGATGTTGGACAAGTTCCTCATTTTCAACTGCACACTATGCCAAAAAATGTTAGAAACACTGTGATGTTTTGTCCTGTGATCATGTCTGTATTCTATACTACAGGTTAAGTAGAAAAAGTAAAGCAGCTTAAGTAGGAAAAATCTAACTTTTCTCAAGACCACCTCTGCAGCAATATTAGTCCACACGTGTTAGTTTAAAAACATCTAAAATGTTAACAGGAGAGTATGCAGCATCAGTCTGTGCCCTGCTAAATGAACCTCCAAGACCCTGAAACAAACAAGGATGTGCCCACTGAAATACTTGCACTAACATTTTTATCTTACCAAAGTCATTAAGTTCAGTGCAGAATTTCACATCTAATATTTAAAATACATTTAACTTTTAATGAACTGATGCGTCTTTTAATGAACTGATGTTTTCTACTCAAGTATGCTAGATATTAAACACCAAACAAGGTCACCCAGATAAGGAGGGTGGAAAATTTCCTTTAGGCTCTAGTATGTAGAGGATTGTAACCTGTCTTTTAGCTACAATAGCAGCAAATCACAACAGTAGTCTTCCAACTGGATTCCTTACAGCTTTTGCCTTTTTCTGTAGATCGACTATCTGAGAGAGGAGGTGGGTGATTTCTTCTTGCTGCCGGGCAGCATCTTCCGTTTTCTTTGCTAACTCTTCGGTGATATTGGCAATCTGGATGTTTGCATCTCCTTTAAGATAAGTGATTACAGTTAATATCACAAAAGCAGAAAAGTAAGCAGAAAGATGCTCTTTGGTCCCATCATTCAGCAGAATCCTGCCCCAATACACAGCAAAGTATACTTGAAAGGCAAGAAGTAGGACATGAAAACAGAAAGACACAAAGTGCTCATGCTGCAAAGGAGATCGTACTTTCCCTTAACATTATCAATGCAAAAATATTTTGCAACTACAAAAGACATAGCTTTCTTATAACTTATAGGATTTTCTGCTGTGAAATTTCAGCCAAAAATTTCCTCCTCACAACCTTTTATATAAGGAAAATAAGTACCACAGCAAAAACATGACTGACTGATCTGACTCACATTTTGCTTTTTTGTTGGTTCCCCCCCGCTCCTTTATTCCCCCTGAACTACCTCAAATGAGAAGTGAAAACAAGAACATACTTAGCTCTTTCACACAGTCATTGACAAGCTGTTGTTCTTTCTCTTCATAAGTAATTGTTTCAGTCTTCAGTTGACAGGCCTATTCAAGAAAGCCACATCAAATATGTGACATTAGCACGTTTGTTCTTTACCAGTCTGTTGCTGCATTTCCAATTGCTTCAGAAGACAAGCTTGTCTAATCACTCCTCCAGGAAGACAGCGAGTAACTACAGTTTTTGCCTGACTGCCCTCCCTCATGTCCTGGAGCAAGGGAGCCAGGTGAACATTCAGTAGAGACATTACTGTATGGAAAATCTTGCCTCATTACCACTATATCCCCACTAGATGTCACTTCTGCATTTTGTACTGAAAATAAAACACCCCAACATACCAAAAAGTTGTATGTAGGGCTTGATCTGGTCACCTGAACAAAGCTAGGTGGCATCACAAACCATTTAAATGCTTGGTTTAAATAACTAAATTAAACACTTAGGTATTCAAAAATAATTCAGATAGCGTTTGAGAAGTTCTAGCACTGTAACCATCTATCCCACATAAAACCTTAGCGCTACCTCCTTCCTCGGGTTGTCTTTTCTCCAACTCAGAGTGCCAAGAGGAGTGTGGCTACACCCACCTGGTTCTGTCTAGCACCACCTCAGTAGGTCTATAATCTATTCCCATTGCTGGGGGCATGCACAGACACCCACAGGCTGCATCTGCAGAGAACTGCGTAGCTCAGAGGGTTCAGATTTGGCTTGATCCTGTGCTTTACTGGCACAGATTGCATCTCCCTGGAAGGGAAGCAAGTGCTACATGGGCTTCTCCTATTGACTCCTTATGCAGTGGCTCTCTCAGTTCTACCTCCATTATTCTTCTGCTACCTTCATATTTCTTCTGCTATAGTTTCCTACATGTTTACAAAATGGTAATGTGCTCCCGAAGCTTAAAAGTTGCATTGAAAATACAAAATATTCATAAAATATTCAATTATGAAGTGTTATTTCTGATAGAAGGGGGACAGTAAATTAGCTTTTAAAAACAGTGTTGTATGTGAAACAGAGTATTATCAGAAATAACAGGCAAGAAAACCACATTCAACTTAAAATATTAACAGCCTTGAAACACAAACTGAAGATATTTAATGCAAATTTCAGCTACCAAGTTTCACTTTGCCAAACACTGGATTTGTACCAGAGAGACCATGCCAGCCTGCATGCATGATCTGCAGCTAAAGTCACCCATATCTACCAGGTCAGCCCTTTAAGACCTATTTCAAAGCGCAGTGCTGGACTCCAAAAACTGCCATGCTTCTGCACGATCTCTTTGGCAAGGAAACTGCTTTGCACGTAGCTTCCGTGTAACTTCTATGTTTCGACCCTTCCTTTATTTAGAAGGATAAAGGATGGTGATTAAACAACTACAAAGAGATCTGTGTCACGTGGAATTATATATTCTTAGACTCTCAACTTTTAATATATTTTGTCAATACCTGTGTTCTGGCATATAAATTAACAATTGTATTAAGCAAAACACAAAGCGAGCAATTTCACCTCAGATCTAAGCACAACATTCTCCTCTTCAAGGTCCTTGAGTTTCTTTTGAAGAGAATCCAAATGAAAGTAGTTCTGGACGGAGGAGGAAGATTCATTCCTCTTCAGCCTTGTAATGAAAACAACAGTTTTAACTCCTTTTTACCTGTATTAAGGCCAATCCCACAGAAAAACATACTTAAAGGTCTCAAAATCAGTCAGAGACACATGAAATACAGCTTGTTCATGCTAGGATGTTTAGGCAGCAATGTGTTTGCAGTGATTTTTAAAAGCAAACATTTTTAAGATTTATTTAGTATTCCACGCATTTCATATGGAAAAGTTACTCAGCCAAGCCTATGAGAAAGGAAACCACTTTACTACAGGGAGCAACCCAATAGCTTCCTGATTAATGCTGCACATGCTTCACCAGATTGCAGCAATAACTGCAAGCAAGGGCAGAAAGCCTCTCAGAGCCTGTAATTCTATTCAGCCAGCTATTTGGCTGGAACCCAAGCTTTAAGCTATGCTTTATATCCCCTTCTTTCTGCTAGCAGTATTTCCATAGTGCCTTCAGGTCCTTCAAGCACAAAGGTCACACACGTAGAACGTTCCAGCACAGCGTGCAAAGGTATGTGGTGTAACAGGGTGCTGTGAGTGGGACCTGTCTGCCTCACAACCACAGTGACCTAGTTCTTGTGGAAGTTACAGTGCTGTGCCAGCAGCATCCCTGTGCACTCTCCCCTCCCAACTTGTGCTGGCACCTGGAGAGCCAACTGGTCCCATGCAAATCCCTCCAGCTGGTGCCATACACCAAGTCCACAGTCCCATTTATAGTGCCAGCTGACACAGGGATCATTTTACTACTTTTCAAAGCTATTAAGTTATCCAAACTGCCCATGCTCAGTACCAGAGGAAGGATCAACACTGTAGATTGGTTAACTTACGGGGTGGAACAGATGGACTCTGGCTCGCTTTCTTCAGCAGCACTGGTGTAGAACTGGAGCAGTTCATCTTTCATGCAGAGCTCATGCCGCAACTGAGAAACCTGCATGAAGAAAGAGCTCGCAGATCAGTAAGCTGATTTTCTAGGCACATTCTTTACTAAACCCACTACAAACTAGCTAGTTATTCATCCTCCAAGCATCATAATTAAGAGGCCAAGAATGGAACAGACCAGAAACAACTCCTTGATTTCTTCGAAAGAAGGGAAAGTGTACCTTCAAAATCAGCCATTGAATGTCCTTTTTTAGAAGTTCAGAAAACGTAATTACCCTTTGCAGTGAGGCATGTTTCTCTTTTACCTTCTTTAAGATGAGCAAACCTTATTCACTATTGCATTAGTCTAGATTCATATCCATAGAAACAGATATACTGCAGTGATACTGCAAGAAATTAATGTAGCATAATCAAGCCAAACAGCACTTTTACCAACTTTATGTGATGACTGTCACCTTCTGGCTTGGATACAGACCTTGCAGACCTCAGATACAGACATTTCTTCCTCTCCAAGAGACTTTAGACAAAACTACTGAAATGCTTTTGTAGTAAGGTTACATTTGGAATTCAATTGCCTGCTGAGCTGCAGAACATCACTACACAGTGGCAAGCTGGCATTTTGAGGTTGTTGCAAGGGTGGAGGATGAAGTCAGTTTCTGGGTGTAGTCATGGCTGTACACAATTCCAAAACATGAGTCTAGTAAAGTAGAATCACAGAATCACAGAATAGTTTGGGTTGGAAAGGTCCTTAAAACCCATCCAGTTCCAACCCCCTGCCATAGGCAGGGACACCTCACCCCCAACCCGGTTGCTCCAAGCCCCTGTGTCCAACCTGGCCTTGAACACTGCCAGGGATGGGGCAGCCACAGCTTCTCTGGGCACCCTGTGCCAGCACCTCAGCACCCTCACAGGGAAGAACTTCTGCCTAAGAACTCATCTCAATCTCCCCTCTGGCAGGTTAAAGCCATTCCCCTTGTCCTGTCCCTACAGGCCCTTGTCCAAAGCCCCTCTCCAGGTTTCTTGTAGCCCCTTTAGGCACTGGAGCTGCTCTAAGATCTCCCCAGAACCTTCTCTTCTCCAGGCTGAACTACCCCAGATCTCTCAGCCTGTCCTCCCAGTAGCATGTGCGAGTCCCATACTTAGTATAGGCACGTATCAAAAAGGCACAAAACACCTAAAGTGGGTAGTTTACATACCCTGTAACTGTAAGCTTTGCAAACATAAATCTTGGTTTATTTATATTGTGGTTCTCCAAGGGTTAACAGCCAAATTACACAGTGGCACTTCCACCACTTCACAACTGCAATTTAAGACTGTGGTGGCAAGAGATTAATTTTTATTTGCCTTGCCTAGCTATAAATAGCATAATTGATCAGATATATTCCCTTCCACTTGCACTGCAAGACTTGGCTCTCAGTTTTCACTTTCCAACACACAAACTGCAGAGCATATTTGTTTTTATTAGACTTCAGGGTTTTTTGAATTGTAGGCATATTTATATTTGTAGTTATTACTGGGAAAAAAAACCCAAACCAACAAACAGAATATCAATAAAATAGATTCAAGCTGCATTTTCATCAGACAAAAAGCAGACTCAATGCAATAAAGCACTTAAACTCTGCAGAATTTTAAGCAAACAGGGTCATTTACCTTCCTAAGGCTATTCTGTGCAATCAGATGTGCTAAAGCACCAAGTCCATATGACACATGGGTTCTAAAATGTAAGGGGGGAAAACAATCCCAATTGACCACATTCTAGAAAACTATGAAACAAAACCCAGACATTAGTTCTGGGAGGTTCACTTTCCCCATTTCAGGAAGAGCTACAATGCTCAGCTAAAAATAACAACTTACTTCTCTCCAACACATTATGGCTCAGCCTATTTAAGTAACAAGGATTCAGATACTATCAGTGGGTGTGCAGTAGGTACCTCCAGCTTTTGCTACACTTCTCCTCTATGAATTAAGAAGATCGAGGATACAATTTTTACTGCCATTTCCAAGCATTCCAAAGGAGGATGAACAGCCAGAAAGGGTAATCTTTTAATGTAAAAAGACCAAAAGCAATGGTGTCCTGGGTTCAGCTGTGAAAGTTACTTTTCTCCTTCTTAGTAGCTAATGCAGTGCTGTGTTTTCAACTTTAGTCTGGGAACAACGCTGATCACACACTGATGTTTTTAGCTGTTGCTCAGTAATGTTTACTCCGATCAAGAACTTTTCAGTCTCATGCTCTGCCAGGGAGGAGGGGAAGCCGGGAGGAAGCAGAGACAGGACCCCTGACCCAAACTGGCCAAAGTGCCATACCACAGCACTTCATGCCCAGGATAGAAACTGGGGGGAGTTACTCGGAAGACCCAGATCGCTGCTCGGGTCAGGCTGGGTATCAGCTGGCAGGTGCTGAGCAATTGTGTCGATGCATCAATTGTGTTTACTGTTTTCTTTTCCTTTTCCCCTCTTAGTTTTATATTCTCTCCCCTTATGTTATTTCCCTTATAATTACTATTTTTGGTGGTAGCAGCAGTAGTTTTGTATTATACCTTAGTTACTGGACTGTTCTTATCTCAACCTGTGACCTTCTGTTCCCTAGCGCACTGTAGGAAAAGTCTCAGTTCCATCAGTTTTTACTGAAAACAATCATGGCTCCTTCCTAAACCTGAGCAGCACCCAACAATAAAACTCAAAAGATAAAGCCAAGAATCTAATGCATTTTGTACAGGTCTATGTTACTTTGACACAGCCACAGGTTGGGTGGAGAAGTGATTGAGAGCAGCCCTGCAGAGAAAGACTTCAGGGTTTGCTTGATGAGAAAACGAACATGACCCTTGCAGGGGAACAAGGACAAAACAGGGAAACAAGGACAACACAAGTAGAAGAAAACAGTGGTTACAGTGACTCAAGAAGAGCAGCTGGTTTCAAAAGAAAATGAAGTCTGAGACAGAACAAAATTCAACGGCTTGAGTTTTGTTTGCTCAGGATTTTTTCCTCAGATCACCTGATTTGAGCCAACAGGTCAAGTAACTTTTTGATCACATTTCTAGAAGTGTACATGCTGTAAAAGTGGCTGGCCAAACTGCTGCAACACAGTTTGACTTGCTATAGACAGGATGCTCATGAAGATTAAGTACGGACAAAGTGAAGCTAAAAGGAAAATTCTCTCCATCACTGAAAATAGAGGCCCCAGACATAAAAACTTACCTCTTCCCTGATGTGTTCTACTTGCTCCTCCAGGAACTCATTTCTTTCTGTCAGTGATTTATTCTTCTTTAACAGCGACTGGCCAATCCGAGCAGCTAATTCTAAGTCCCGTTCTTTCTGTGAAGCATTAAGAAAAGAAAGGTCATTTCAACTTCTTATTCACCAAAGGATCACAGGGAGGGTAAAACTGTCATAAAAGAGAAGGAACAAGAACATGAACAATAAAAAGACTTCCTGCTTCTGTGAGAGTTTGCTTGTTAGGTTTCTTGCTAGTTTTTTTCCCTATTTCTGCTTGTGGTACACTCACATTACCCAGAAAAGACTGACTGATACAGAGTTACTGGACCAAACACATGAAAGCACAGCCCCAAAATGTACAGTAAAACAATGTAAGTGAAACCAGATCTGGCTCTCTATTACACCTTTGTTTGAGAAACTACTGACGGAAACTCTTCCATCACCTTGCTATGCCATTTGCAGAATGAATCACAAAGCTTCAGAGGTTATGTTTTAAAGAATTCAGCAGCACAGTAAGAACACCAAAGAACTTAAGCATTTCGAAGAGTTCTTCAGTTTTCACTTCCTCCACCTTAAAATAGAAGGCAGTAAGGTGTGCAGAAGCAGAAGATAATTCCACCACAATTAAGGTTCAGCTTCTATCTTCCTGTGTGCATCCATCCACTAGGTGCTTTCATATAAAAACAAGTTTCGTGACTTTCCTTTTTGCAGATGTCCAAACCTACATGAAGTGTTCACTCTCATGCCATGCTTTGCTCCTTCTTCCCCCTCCTCCATGAGCACAGAATTGGAAATAACCCATCAACACAGTTCACCACGTGTACCAATAAAAACTAGAAACTTATCCTGTTGACAACATGTATCTACACATGTTGCAGCTTCTGCAAAGCTGACACATGGGCTTGTAATCTGGCTGGGAGAGGATGAGAAACTGCACAAAACTGTGCCATTCATTAAGCATCTCTATTTATAACTGTCACATTCAACTACTAGATGTTTAAAATAGCACTATTTAAGGAAGGGTTTTCTCCCTGTCACTGAAAATACTGTTTGGAACTTATTTACTGCCCCCAACATCCATACAGATTTTATGACTAAAAGCTACCTAATGTCATGCATACATTAATGAGAAAGCCTACAAAGCCCACAGCTACTGATCACATTGATTTGAAGTAAATAAAATGACAGGCTATTGATCACTGCTGTATCTATAAATAGCATTTTCCAAATGGTTTCTGAAGTCAGACTTATATTTGCCTTGACAGCTACTGGCATTATCCAGCTGTAAAATCTTACATACAATCTTTCAGAACAATAGGTCCCACAAAGTTATCAAAAAAAGAAAAAGTTTGGTTTACATATCAGCCAACTTATCGTGCAGTAATTTGGCTCTTTGTAAATATGAAGTGAAAAAAATACATTGTTGAGTCTATAGAGAAAGAGTTGTCTAGCAGCAAAGTTTCTAAATTCAGATTTAAGAACATCAAGTGATCTCCAGGCTCTTTAATTAACCTCCGTAGACTTCCTACAGAGTTTTCTTAGCAATTCAGCTCTGAATCTCAGTTTGGGGTCAGGCCTCTTACAGTGATAACAAACTGGTTTATTACAGCAATGTGTAAAAAACAATACTGAAACCAGATACATTTACATTGTTATTAGGTAAGGATGAAAAAGCAGATTCAAGAGGAATCTGCTGCTACTCTCACCACATAAGCAGCTGCCCCCTCCTTGGCTGTTTCAGGGCAACAATCATAGATTTTCAAAGTATCTGCACACATCTTGTTTTGAGATCTTCTCTTTCCTACCTTCCCCCCCAAAATGCTGCACCTTTCACCCTGCCAATGTTGTGATACAATCATTTGAACTTGCCAAGAATGAGGACAGACAAGACATAGCTTTGGGGTTTTTTTTTCCTCATTTGTTTATAAAGGGAGCAGATGGAGCTACACCTTAAATTCTGCTAATGGATGTAATCTCTTGTGATAGTCAGCATTTGGAGAACAGAGAAATGAGCTGTAAGGACATGTCTGGCTAGGAACGGAGTGATTCAGTCAGAAATGATGGCCAAATAAAAAGTATTGGTTTTATTAAAGGTTCACCTATTACATGTTCACCTATACTTCTTTTTGCTATCAGCCAGATAGGGAGGCACACCAGAAGTTTTCAAACACTGGCTCAGGAAGTCCTTCTAGCATTGCTCCCACAAGTGTGATTTCTGGATCTACAGATGTTTGGCTACATGAACTCAGCGGAGTAAACAGTTTGGCAGAATGCTGCATCATTACTAGAAGGAGCCATGGAAACATATGCAAGTAAATCTCGGCCAAACAACACAAAGGGTACGGGACACCTGCTACTACAAGTTTATGGATTATTCCAGGATAAGTCTTCTGGGTAAAGCATCAGTTTTAACTGATATTTTATAAAGTTGTTTAAACAAGTTTAGCTCAAAGCACAAAATACAGGACTTTGTACTGCAATCGGATGTATGAAGCATAAGCAGAAGATGTGAGCATTCCTATACTTGTTTTCTTGCAGAATTAAAGGAAGAAGAGACCATCCAATGTATCTTGGCCAGACAAACACCCTTTTTGACAATGCTACTGCAATGAGTAAGCAAATAAACATGATAGATTAAATTACATTTAGCCATGAATTACATTCCATCCCTGGCAGTGTTCAAGGCCAGGATGGACGGGGCTTGGAGCAACCTGCTCCAGTAGAAGGCGTCCCTGCCTGTGGCAGTGTGTTAGAACTGGAGGATCTTAAGGTCCTTTCCAACCCAAACCAGTCTGGGATTCTGTGAACCAATACAACTCTAACAGTTTTCACTTAAAAAATCTTCATAAACATTATTTGGAAAAACTATTGCTCAGGTTTACTGCAGTTATTTTCAGTCAAACAATTTATTGTTACATTTACTGAACATAAGCATCATAGCTTGACAGTTGCTTTCTGACAGTGCTTGAGTGTCAAGGATTACAGAACAACAATGTACATAATAATGATATCAAAAACCCCCACCCAAACCTACCAAACACAAGGCAAAGAAGAAAAGGCTTGGAGACCAATGGAGTACGAAGTATTTTCTGATTTTGTCTCTAGGCACTTCTCTGGAAAGACATTATCTGAGGTAATAATCATAACTACAAGACTGTGAAGGTTTGGGCTTTTTTTTTTTTTTTTTGCCTTTTTTTTTAATTTTAAAAGATAATTAATCGATCAATAATCATACAATGAACCAGGCTGGAAAAGACCTTTAAGATCATCAAGTCCAACCACTCCCCAGCACTGCCAAGGTCACGGTTTGTGAACACTTCCAGGGATGGTGATTCCAGCACTTCCCATAATATTATTAGCTTTACGTGTACTATACAAGTATGTGACATGTTAACATGATCCCTTCCCTCCTCTTTCTTTATGGCACGTATTTGGGCAAGAGCAAGTTACATGGCCTCAACAGGGAAAGATAAGCACAAGTAACGAATCCATATGACTGAGGTCAAAAATGACCTTTACTGAGAAAGAACGTTTACTTTACTAATGAGGCAAAGTATACATACACTCAGAGCACTTATTCCTTCTCATTGGAGAACAGTCTACCAACAGTCTTTAGTAGGGGTACCATGTAATTTCTTGTCCTACTTTCTCATGTTGTGAATGGGTGTTTCAAGAGATGAAATACTTACCTCTTCAAGAAGACGTGTGACAGCATCTATGTCATTGTATGTTTTAGTCATCTGGCCCACTCTTTCAGCGCATAAAACTGTGAGGAGATAAAATAAAACATTCATCATATTGACAACACTTTTAGGGGGAAAATACTCTCATAATATCCTTTTAGGTTTGTGTAAGTTTTCATCTTAAAACTACTTATGTCAGCTTCAGGGTAAGTATATCAAAAGCTAAAGAAAAAAAAACCCCAACCTACCCTCAAAAAATAATCAAAGTCTCAAGTTAAACTGAGTTTAACTTTTCTCTTTTGTAATGAGCATTTGCTTTTGTCAGTGACAGAGCAAACTTAAAACGTTAATACTTCTTTGAAGAGGAAAGCCTTGAGTTTATAACAAGTGAAACGAGGTATTCTTAGACACAATTAGGATTCTATCATGTCACCTACTCATTGTATTACGTGCAGTAGAATTACTTGATCAATGAGCAACTCCAATAAATATACTGTGCTGTTAAGTTGGTAAGGAATGGGTTCTATGGTATGAGACTGCAAAGTAAATACGAAATGCATGCAGAATAATAAATGGTTCTTATAATACCCAGACCATACCACAGTGGCTGTAGTATCGCTAATGAAAATATTTAGACTGGATGAGATGATTAATCACTAAAAGGGAGCCAGTTTTGTTAGACTGCAGAAAGTATGCAGAAGTTTAGTCTACCACCATAGGTAATCCTTTCAGAAGCTACACTGTGATATCTAGAAGTCTGCAAGTTGTCTAAAAATCCAATCAGAGGAAACAACAGCACTTTCTGCTCTACCCTCATATTCACTTTATTTTCGGCTATACCTGTTCCTCAAGCCCTGTAATGCTGGGGAAAAGGAACTATTAATTAAGTTCAGTTGATCGTATGGACCAGGGGTAATCAGGCTGCTGTAGCACTAATTGTTCTTCAGGGGATTTACCCTTGACAATGTCAGTTAAAGCTCACTTTGACAAATGAGCTAATGCTGGTCTAGTGCGCATTAAGGCAGGGAGAGACAGCTAAGGCCTAATAGGATTTAACTGGGGGTTGAAGGGGGAGTGTATTGAGTACAGTGACATTACCAGGAGACTGTCACACCAAGGAAACAACACTGCCCAATTTATAAATATACAATACATAATTTATACCCAATATTTAAATATACAATAAATATTTGTAAATAGTTCATCACCACCTAAGGCACATCAATAATCTATCATATGCAACAGCTACTTAGGTAGCTGCTGAAATGTTGGAGGATTCTTTTCCATACATAAATATCAGAAAGTTGCTTAAGCTACAGCAAGAAGTACAATTTGTTTCTATTTATTTTCCCCTTTCTGAAATTCTATTTTTGAGGATTAGATTCTAAGAACATTTACAGTATTTAGTGCCATCAATAGTGCCAGTGAACTCTAAAGAATGCCATTCAAATGTATTCAAGAGATAATTCCACTTATCCAAATAATTAAGTCTGAAAACGGCAAGAGTTTAAAGTAGTAGTTTGCAGTATATCGCATTACATAGCAATATAAAGAACAACCGTACCACTGCACAAGCAAAAATACAGTGCATCTGTACTACAAGCTGTATTACTCTAAAGCAGACTAATCGGGATCCAAAGAACAAAACTGAAGTAACTCACAGAGAACATAAACTGTAATAAACAAAGGGGTTAAACAGAAGCTATCAACATACACCTCACATAAAGATGAATGGTGTCACATCCAGCAGACTATTGACAATAACAAAATTAACATCACCATAAACCCTTTTTTTGTTAAACACAGCAGATTCCTAAGTCATGCCATAAAATACTTATCAGAAACCCTGACACCAGCAGGTTATTTTCCAAAACAATCATACACTAAATAGTTCCCTTAGTTACTACATTCCCTCACTACTATAAAATAATGTTTGAGACTGTCATTAGCCACCTCATTTTAACTCTGTATCTAGCAGGAATAGTCACTACTAATTCTGACTATGGCAACCTTACACCACCCCAGTTCAGGTGAATGTATAACCTTCATAATATGCAAGCTGATAAAAGGACAGTGCTTCCACAGGCAGAAGAAAGTCACTCTGCTGGGAGAGTGATGATAAAGGTTGATTTATATGGCCGTTCACTTGGCTATTTTTCAGAACTTGCCCTTTCATCTTTAACTCTGCAGGATAACACCACAGCTACAACTGATGTATTAATAGCAAAGCAATAGCAACCTGGTCACCAACAGCTTTTATATTTCAGAAGTTCCATCAAATTTCTGTTGATCATTGCTAAAATGGAGTTCTTCATGTACTACTCTGCCACTGTGTAAGGGTTTCAAAGCAGAAATCACAGAATCCTCCAGGTTGGAAGTGACCTCTGTAGATCATCCAGTCAAAGCAACTGCCAAGGCAGAGCCACCCAGAGCACAGGAACACAGGAACATGCCCAGGCAAGTTTGAATGTCTCCAGAGAGGGAGACTCCACAACCCCCCTGGGCAGCCTGTTCAGTGCTCTGACACCCTCAGTGTAAAGAAGTTCTTCCTCATGTTGGGGTAAAACTTGTGTTTCAGCTTATGGCCATTGCTCCACGTCCTGTCACTGGGCACCACTGGAAAAAATCCAGCACCTTCCTCCTGGCACCTGCCTTTGAGATACTGATCTCCATTGATGAGATCCCCTCTCAGCCTGCTCTTCTCTAAACAGGCCCAGCTCCTGCAATCTCTCCTCAGAAGAGAGATGCTCCAGAGCCCTGATCATCCTTGTGGCCTCCGCTGGACCCTCTCCAGTAGCTCATTTGTGTCTTGTGACAGTAACTCCAGTCTGTCTTGTGCTGAGAAGCCCAGAACTGCACACAGTGCTCTGGATGACATCTCACCAGGGCAGGGTAGAGGGGGAGGATCACCTCCCTTGACCTACTGCCACACTCCTCCTGATGCACCCCAGAGTGTTCTTGCCCCTCCTGACTCAAGGGCACAAACTGCCAGCTCATGGTCAACTTATCATCCACCAACACTCCCAGGTCCTTCTCAGCTGAACTGCTCTCTAGTAGGTCAGCCCCCAACCTGTGCTGGTACCTGGAGTTCTTCCTCCACAGAGGCAGGATCCTAAAATGGTATCTTACACATCCTCTTCAACATCCAAGTGGAGACAAATTTTCATTGACCGTATCTAATAAAATACCTCCTCCAGTCAACTACCTCCTATCAATATAAAATAGATCACGAGCACACAGCTTCTAACTGAAAGGAACATTTTCCTCTTGGAAGGAGGACAAACTTGCAAAGAGGTGTTGCTCTCCATCCCTTAGAAACCAAGGCTTGTGGGGAAGAGAAGATGAAAAGCAAGGGGAGAGAAAGCAATCGAGAAGCATTAAAAAAACCTCAAACCTGTGCTAAGTATGTAGTCATTCAGCCTCCACAGATTACAAGGTAACATATGGCCAATTGCTAGTGCAGAGATATTTATTTCCTTAGTGTTCAAAAAAATCTACAGGTGAAAAAGACAAACTACTTTAAATAATCATTTTGCGCTCTGATCAGTGCAGTATGGAGGGGAAAAAATCCCCACAAACTCCCCATCTCTAATGGATTCTGCACAGTAGGTTTCCAACCTGCTGGAGGCTCTGATGAGTATGACTGACACCACTGTAAAGACAAAACAAGAGCAAATGAAGGACGGTGCTTTGTAAAGCAAACCCTACAGTGCTAATTTACTGACCTCTTTTTTCTCACTTGCAAATCACTAGTATTTTAGCTTGAGGGTGACAGGAAGCACAGTGTCTAAAGGCATGGATGTGTGCAAACATCTACATCAAATACATTTTGCACCTCTCAGTTTATTGAGAAGGGTGTTAGACAAGAACGAAAGAATAATAATACAGAAAAAACAGAGCTAGAAAATGTGATTTGCTTGCAGCCCAGAAAGCCAGCCGTATCCTGGGCTGTATCAAAAGAAGCATGACCAGCAGGTCAAAGGAGGTGATCCTGCCCCTCTACTCTGCTCTTGTGAGACCTCACTTGGAGTATTGTGTCCAGTTCTGGTGTCCTCAACATAAAAAGGACATGGAGCTGCTGGAGCAAGTCCAGGGGAGGGCCACGAGGATGATAAGAGGACTGGAGCACCTCCCGTATGAAGATAGGCTGAGAAAGTTGGGGCTGTTCAGCCTGGAGAAGAGAAGACTGCGTGGAGACCTCATAGCAGCCTTCCAGTATCTGAAGGGGGCCTACAAGGATGCTGGGGAGGGACTCTTCATTAGGGACTCTAGTGGTAGGACAAGGGGGAATGGGTTTAAACTTAAACAGGGGAAGTTTAGGTTAGACATAAGGAAGAAGTTCTTCACAGTGAGGGTGGTGAGGCACTGGAATAGGTTGCCCAGGGAAGTTGTGAATGCTCCAACCCTGGAGGTGTTCAAGGCCAGGTTGGACAGAGCCTTGGGCGACATAGTTTAGTGTGTGGTGTCCCTGCTCATGGCAGGGGGGTTGGAACTAGATGATCTTAAGGTCCTTTCCAACCCTAACTATTCTATGATTCTATGCTGCTTAGAGGAAAAGCACATTTCCAGGAATAGGAAAGACCAATGGAAGGGAAAGGAAGCAAGAATCCCACTATTGGAGTTGCTGCAATCAGCCACCACCCACCAAACAGTAGATTCAGTTGGAAGAGAAAAAGAAAGCAAGAAAAATAACTCACAGGAGGCAGCAAAGGAGTCCTCAGCCCCTGCTCCCTGCATCCCTCCTTTTCATTTTGAGACCTATCAGTGAGGGACAAACTGAAGAACTAGAAGAGAACAGCCATGGCTGAAGAGGAAAGCCCAGCTCCCACTTCTCCTCTTCCCATCTATTTCCAACTACTGGGGAACAGAAGGGGGAAAAGATGTTACGGTAAAGTTCCACTTTTGGGGCAGATAATACTGACTTGTATAATGATAGTGTCCAACAGGGAAAGCCCTAGTGCATGGGGATTTCCCTACTACCAAAATTTATTTCCTCAGAAAGTACATCAGGATAAGGGAATACTGTTCATGGAGCAGAGATCTCTGGCAATTCTAATACTGATGCTTCTTACTGGCAAGGTGG